TTTGTAATATGTTTATTTTTGATTGACCTCCAGGATGTTCCAGATTTGGACTAATCTACATACTGCTGTTATGAACATTCCTGTGACTTTTTGGTACACACATGCATTTTCTGTTGGGTATGTATCTAGGAATGCAACTGCTGGTTCATGAGACATTTGTATGTTCAGCTGTAAAAACAGAGCTTTAGTGTGCCACTTTTCCACTCCCTTTAGCAGTGTATGAAAATTCTATTTACTCCATATCCTCTGCGACACTTGATATTCAGATTCATTAAACTGTATTTAAATTTTAAATTTTAATTGTGAGGTATGAACTTCTATCTAAATTTCAGCTATCTGGTGTATAGTTAGTGGTATTGCATTGCAGTTTTTATTTGCAGCTCCCAAATCACTAATATGTGTTTATTGGGAAATCTTTTGCAAACTGCCTATTTGTGTATTTTGTATATACTAACTTAATTGTATTATCTTTTTCTTACTGATCCACAATTAACATGAGTCCTTTATCCTGAAAAAGGACTTTATGAACTATAAAAATCTGTTCCTGCCCCATGATTTGCCTTTTTACTCTCTTGATGATGTCTTTGCTGGGCATAAAAATCTTATTTCAATGTAGTTCAGTGTATCAATTATCTCTTTAGTGATTAGTGGTTTTTGTACTGTAAGGGAAAAAAAATTTCTTTCTTATCCCAAGGTCATAAAGATACTCCTCTTTGTTATCTTCAGAAGTCTTATTATCTTACCTTTCACATTTAGATCAACTTTCTATCTGGAACTGATTTTTATGTATAGTGTGAGGTAAGGAGTCAAGATTCATTTTCTCGTTCATTTGAATGTCCAATTGACCCAGCCTCATTTACTGAAAAGATCATTATTTCCCTCTGTTCTGTACCGCCACCTTTTTTTGTAAATTAAGTGTTCATATATGTGTGGATTAGTTTGTGGACTCTATACTATTCATTGGTCTATTTGTGTATTATTGTGCTAATACTATATTTTCCAATTTATTTTAGATTTAAAATAAATCTTGATACCTGGTATTTTATTTTTTAATTAATTACTTTTATTTATTTTTCTAAAGATTTTATTTTTAATTAATATCTATACTCAATGTGGGGCTTGAACTTACAACCCCAAGATTAAAAGTTGCATGCTCTTCCAACTGAGCCAGCCAGGCACTCCAATACCTGGTATTTTAAATCTTTCAAATATGTCCCTTTTTTTTTCATTGTTTTTGACATTTTAGACCCTTTACATTATCATACGAGTATTCAAATCAGCTTGTCAACTTCCACAGAAACACCTGTTCAAGTTTGGACTGGAAGTGCATTGAATAGAGATAAACCAAAAAACATACTCTTCACTGTAAGGAACAGGCGGTTACCAGAAGAGAGGTGGGGCGGGGTGGGTGAAATTGGCAAAGGGGTAAGAGTACACTTACTTTGATGAGCACTGAGTAATATATGCAACCACTGAATCACTAAATTGTACACCTGAAACTAATATAACACTGTATGTTAACTACACTGGAATTTTTAAAAAGAGAGATGCATTGAATACAGGTAGGTTGGGTGAGAACTGACATCCTCACAATACTGAATCTTTTTATCTGAAAGTAATATATAGTCTTCCATTCATTGAGGTCTTTTTAAATTTCTCTCAATGTTATACAGTGTCCCTCATAGAAGATTTGCTGATTTTCTGAAAGATCATTTTAATGTTCTTTGATGCTAATTTAAATGGTATTTTAAAAATTGTATTCTCTGCTTGTGTGTTGCAAGTGTGATATGCAATTGATTTTTGCAAATTAACATGGAACTATTTGCTTTGCTAAATTAATAAATTTATTATATTAGTATGTCTGTATTCTTTGGAATTTTTATGTATAAAATCATGTCACTTGCAAATGGAGACAGTTTTCTTTCTTTCTTTTCTCTCTTTCTCTCTTTTTCTTTCTTTCTCTCTTTCTTTCTTTCTAATACTTACACCTTTTTGAGGATTTTATTTTTGTAAGTAGTCTCTACACCCAACATGGGATTTGAACTTACAACCTCAAGATCAAGAGTCACATGCTCTCCCTACCCACTGAGCCAGCCAGCTACCCCTACAATATTTATACCTTTTACTGTCTTGCCTCATCACACTGGGTTAGGATAGATGCTAGATTAGAATACCATGTTGAACTGAAGTAGTGACAGAAGGCATCCTTTACTTACACCTGATATCAAGAGAACAGCTTTCAATATTCCCAGATGAAACATGATGTTTGCTGTACGATTTTATAAATATCCTTCTATTCTTAGTTTGTCAGCTTTCTTTTTTAAAGTCATGGTTGGGGGCGCCTGGGTGACTTAGTCGGTTAAGTGACCAGCTCTTGATTTCAGCTCAGGTCATGATCTCAGGGTCGTGAGATGGAGCCCCTCATTGGGCTGGGCGTGGAGTCTGCTTAAGATTCTCTCTTCCTCAGAAACAAAAATGAAAATGAATTTTTGGGACTTCATCAAGATAAAAAGCTTCTGCACAGCAAAGGAAACAGTCAACAAAACAAAGAGGCAACCCACAGAATGGGAGAAGATATTTGCAAGTGACACTATAGACAAAGCACTGATTTCCAAGATCTATAAAGAACTTCTCAAACTCAACACCCAAAAAACAAATAATCAAGTCAAAAAATGGGTAGAAGACATGAACAGACACTTCTCCAAAAAAGACATATGAATGGCTAACAGACACATGAAAAAATGTTCAACATCATTAGCCATCAGGGAAATTCAAATAAAAAACACATTGAGATACCACCTTACACCAGTCAGAATGGCAAAAATTGACAAGGCAAGAAAAAACAAATGTTGGAGAGAATGTGGAGAAAGGGGAACCCTCTTACACTGTTGGTGGGAATGCAAGTTGGTACAGCCACTTCGGAAAACAGTGTGGAGGTGCCTCAAAAAGTTAAAAATAGAGAGCTACCCTATGGCCCAGCAATTGCACTACTGGGTATTTACCCCAGAGATCGAGATGTAGTGAAAAGAAGGGCCATATGCACCCCAACGTTCATAGCAGCAATGTCCACAACAGCCAAACTGTGGAAGGAGCCGTGATGCCCTTCAACAGACGAATGGATAAAGAAGATGTGGTCCATATATACAATGGAATATTATTCAGCCATCAGAAAGGATGGAATTGGAGGAGATTATGCCAAGTGAAATAAGTCAAACAGAGAAAGACAATTATCATATGGTTTCACTTATTATTAAATATTAATATTTTCACATATTATTTCACATAAGGAAGAGCATGGAGGATGTTAGAAGAAGGAAGGGAAAAATGAAGGGGGGGAATCGGAGGGGGAAATGAACCATGAGAGACTATGGACTCCAGGAAACAAACTGAAGGTTTCAGAGGGGTGGGGGTGGGATGATGGGTTAGCCTGGTGATGGGTATTAAAGAGGGCATGTATTGCATGGAGCACTGGGTGTTATACACAAACAATGAATCATGGAACACTACATCAAAAACTAATGATGTAATGTATGGTGACTAACATAACATAATACAAAAAAATTTTTTTAAGCTTAAAAAAAAATCTCCCTCCCTCAACCTCTTCCCCACCTGCTCAAGGGTGTGCGCTTTCTCTTTAAAAAATAAATAACTAAATAAATAAAAGCATGAATTGATGTTGAATCTTATTGAGAGATTTTTTTGTCTCTATTTGAGATGATCATATGATTTTTCTTTATTCTGTTTATGTTTGTGAACTGCATTTGATTTTCACATGTTACACTATCTTGCATTCCTGGAATAATTCTCACCTGGCCATAATATATTATCATTTTTTATTTTTTAAAGATTTTTTATTTATTTGACAGAGAGAGCACAAGCAGAGGGAGAGAGAGGGAGAAGCAGGCTCCCTGCTGAGCAAGGAGACCAATGTGGGACTCGATCCCAGGACCCTGGGATCATGACCCAGGCCAAAGGCAGCCGCTTAACCAACTGAGCCACACAGGAGTCCCTATATTATCATTTTTTAAAAAGATTTTATTTATTTATTTCAGAAAGAGAGGGCATGAGCGGGGGGAGGAACAGACAGAGAGGGAGAGAAAGAATGTCAAGGGGACTCCCCCCTAAGCAGAGTCTGAGGGGGAGCTCCATGCCACTACCCTGAGATCATGAGGTGAGCTGAAATCAAGAGTCAGATGCTTAACTGACTGAACCACCTAGGGAGCCCTATTATCATTTTTTTTTTTATCACTGGATTTTCTTCGCTAATATTTTGTGTAGAAGTTTTGTGTCTATATAAATGACAGTTGGCCTCTCTTGGGTCCTTTTTGTAATGTTCTTACCAGTATTCGCTATCAAAGTTATGATGACCTCAAAAAATAACTTGGAAAATTTTTTCTCTTTTTCCAAGTTCTGGAATAGTATATCTCAAGTTGATTTAATTTCTAAACGTTTGGAGGAATTGAGTAATAAAATAGACAGGCATGGAAATTTCTCTCAAAGGATTTTAGTTACAGATTCAATTTATTTACCAGATAGTAAATAAACTATTTGCATTTTATATTTCTTCTTTTGGCATTTTGGTAAATTATGGCTTTTTAAGTCATTTCACCATTTCATTGAAATTATCACCCCAAAATTGTTATATCCTTTTGTTTTCATTTTCTTAACTATGGGACCAATAGTTAAGCCCGTTTTTTATAAAAATCATTCTTGATATTGGTATTTTGTGCATTTTCTTTTTTTCTTGATCTGTCTTCCCAGGGATTTATGAAATTTATTAGTCTTTTAAAATCTCCTTTTAGATTTATTTTCTCTAGCACATGTTTGTTTTATGTTTTATTGAGATCTGTTTTTATTTTTATTTGTTTCTTTTTGTTCTCCCTCGGCTTAATTTTTTTAACTTGTGGAAATGGATGCTTGGATGATTTGTTTTCAGGTTTGTTTGGGTTTTTTTTTTCGACAAAAGTAGGATTTGTTGGTGGGCATGAATAAGGAGGAGGCAGTACTGAGGTTCTCATGAGGGCAGAGCCTGCCATTTGTCCATGGGGCCACAATTAGGGATGTATCTGACCCCACAGCCATCTGGGATGAGGCACTTTTCAGCCACCATGTCTTCAAATTTGTCTGCATTAAATTTAGTGAAGCCCTGCTTCTTGGAAATGTGGATCTTCTGGCAGCCAGGGAACTTGAACTTGGCCCTATACAGAGCCTCAGTCACATGCTCCTCGTTTTGCACCTTGGTACAGATGGACATGATGACTTGGCCAGTGTGGACCCTGGCCACTGTGCCGTAGGGCTTGCCAAAGGCACCCCGCATACCTGTTGAGAGCCCGTGAGCTCCAGCACAGGACAACATCTTGTAGATAAGGATGCCGTGGAAGGGGTGGAACTGCACTCTGATGGGAAAACCATCTTTGCCACAGCTTTTCAGCATGTACATTTTGGCACAAATATGTGCAGCCTCCAGGGCTTCAGAGGAGAGATGCTCATATTCATCGGACACCATGGAGCCACACAGTGAGAACTCATCTACTTTTGCTTTCTTCTGCCCCAGGTCAAAGACTTTCCAGACAAAGAGGCCTTCCCTTGAAACTAAAAAAACAGAAGTCAGGTGCACTAATAACATTAAGCTCAAAATGGGAAATGTGAAGACTAGGAAACAGGAATTGCAAAATGTTTGCCTAAAATATTCTTCAGCATTGTACAGGAGACCAGAAATCATCACAAATTACCAAAATTATCATTCTAGTTAGGGCCTTTAAAGTAGAGAGAACCCAGGGATGGTGTGTTTGATCCCTGCATAGTTTTTTTAATGCAGAAATGTCAAATTACAGCTGAAAACTGGAGTATATTTAAAATGATTTAATAAATTAGCATTTTTAACCCACAGATTTCTATACATTACCATGTGATTTGCAAAATAATTATAATATTTATAGAATACTATAGTGTTATATAACATAATAGGCAAATTAGAGCAGTCTGAGGAAATTATTTTTCTTTTTAAGATTTATTTATTTATTTTAAAGAGAGAGAGCAAGTGGGGGAGGCACCATGGGAGAGAGAATCTCAAGCCAACTCCTTGCTGAACCCAGACCCTGACCCAGGACTGGATCCCATGACCCTGAGATCATGACCTGAGCCAAAATCAAGAGTCAGATGCTCAACTGACAGCCACACAGGGGTCCCAAGGAACTTATTTTTCTTTCAATACTTCCCATTTATCTCTGTGACTGTGTGCATATCTTCTTTTAGAGATAATGTTAAGAGTCTAAAAAGTGAGGCTGTGGACAAACATACTAATCTCATAGTCAATATCAATGACAGAGCTAATCACCAAAATATATTATAAGAATAGTAGTTCTAGGTTCCCAAGAGTTACAGAACTCTATAAATAATTTTCTGAAGGAAATATTATATATGTATTATCTTTCAGCCCAAACACAACACAGTTTATTTCTCCTTTTTGTTTTTGATAATATCACTTTTTCCCCTATTATCTACAAAATTCAGTTTGAATGAATTTTTTAAAAAATGGATTCTTCCAGTAGTCATAAAACCTTAGTATTTCTTGACAATTGGCCTTGCTGTCATTTTGCAACCTGGACTTTTCATTTTAAGAGGTTGGTTTTTCAGTGCTAGTGTGTGAAATAGTTTTGAGGTTTTGTGGTTGCTGTTGACACTCTGCGGAACTTAGAACACTTTGGTTTCCTTTTGCTTTAGTGAACTGCCAGGCCTTTTAAGTGCACGCAGACCATGGGAGTGCCCAAGCAGACTTACTATTAGAGAAGAATCCTATATGGAATTCAGACAGGTGGCCCATCTCTGCACATCCTTGAGAAGTCTAGCTTTTTCAGGTAAGTGCAAAAGACCGGGGGTGGGGGGCTCAGGAATGAAGGTTATGCATAGAGAGAGCATGCAGAACTTGGCAATGAAGCTCTAATTCACAATTTTCAGTCTTGCTGTAGAAAGCAAGCTTATTTACTCTGACCACAAGTCCTCCTTTGTAGAAAGAACTGTCTAGCTCTTACTGTGTAGTACACACTGCTCTGAAGGTGACACCTAGTTTTTCTAAGTTGTTAAATATGAACAAAAGTGGTTTCAGAATCTGACAAAGGAAAAATGAAGTCTGGCTAAAACCATCATAGAGGTCTTCAGGGCATCTGATATTGCATTTACACATTATTGAAATGTTTCTATTTTAAGTGTTTTTTTCATTATGAAAATCTTTTAAACTCTATCACTGGTAATATTCTCACATATGATTTAAAACTGTTCTGGCAGCCCTAATCCATAGAAGAAAACAATCAATAGTAATCAGGTACTTTGAAATTTCTAAAAGAAGTACATAAGGAATAGCATGGAGGACATTAGGAGAAGGAAGGGAAAAATGAAGGGGGGGAAATCGGGAGGGAGAGATGAACCATGAGAGACTATGGACTCTGAGAAACAAACAGGGTTTTAGAGGGGAAGGGAGCCGGGGGAGGGATGGGTTAGCCTGGTGATGGGTATTAAGGATGGCACGTACTGCATGGAGCACTGGGTATTATATGAAAACAATGGGTCGTGGATCACCACATCAAAAACTAATGATGTATTGTGTGGTGACTAACATTAACATAATAAAATTTTTTAAAAAAGTACATTCAAAATAATGTGTAATAACGGTTATTGTAATTCTTTTCATTCTATTTTTGCAGTACTACATGACAGGAGGAATCTGAAAATAACTTTAAAATCACACAATTAAAAGTTAAGAACAACTGTTCAAATAATTTTACATTAAGCTTCTTTTATACCTTTATTTCCTCTTTACAAGAAGTACTGCACTTCAAATATGTAAAATAGAATATAATACAAGCTTAAAAAAAGTAAATCAGTAACGTACAACTTGGGTTTGAGAGTTTAATATTCCTTCTTTAATAAATTTATAATATAATTTTGGATGGGTCACTTAATTCCTGGATTTCAACTTCCTACATAACTGCATAATTATTTATCTAAGTAATTTATTAAGGACCAGAATTACAACTCCTTGTTTTCTTTTTTATTGGGCTTAAATGAATCAATTAGTCAATATTTTAACTGATCAACAGGAGTAATGAGAAGACCAATAGATGAGGAATCAGATGGTACGAATCCTAGTCTTCTATTTTCTAGTAATTGGATGAGAGATTTAGAAAATATTTGCTAACCATTCTAGGCCAGGGTTTGGCAAATTTTTTCTATAAAGGACTGTATAGTAAATAGTTTAGGTCTCGCAGGCCAACAAGGAAAATTGAAGATAATATGAAGGTAATACGAAACCATTTAAAAATGTAAAAGCCATTCTTAGCTCACAGGCAGAACAAAAATGGGAGATGAGCTATATTTGGCCTTGGGACCATAATTTTCCAGCCCCTGTTCTAGGCAATGATTTTCATCAATTATAAAATGGAAGATGTAGTAGTTCATGGATGATACATAGGGTGATCCACCAATCCCCTAAAATTGTATACAAAAATCTGAGTGTATGTAAATATGTTATTTTTTAATGGGAAAAAAAGGTCCACATATTTCATCAGATTTTAAAGGGTCCAAAACCCAATTAAGGTCAAGGACCACAGGACTAGTTGATTCCTAAAGATGCTTCCCCTACCTAAAATTCAGTGAAATGTTTATTGGGTGTCTACTATGTCTAAGCCACTGTGCTAACACTGTAATAGATGTTAATACATTTTGACCAAAATAACATGTCAAAAATATATTAAAGAAGATTGTAATATGCACAAATTGGTGATAGCCTTCAAAGTAATAACTTTGAGAAAAATTCTGTAGTTAGATATTTCTGAGATATTACTTTGCAGAGTGTCTTCAAATGTAGTATGATTATGTCAAAATATTAATCAGATATTCTTATTGTCTCATCTTGTTTTTGATGACAATGGTATTAGTCATGACAATCATAATCAAACTTAAACCAAGCAGAATCTCTTTCCTAAAAATATGATTTCCTTAAGAGCAGGAACTATGCTTTTTTCATCTTTGTATTTGGAGACAATATTTGTCACATACTAAGTACTCAACATCTCTGGAATGAATTAATGAGTGAATGAATGAATGAAAAGATGAAGACACCATCATGCAGAGTATATGCCATTGATACTGAAGGCTTAGAACCCAAAATGCTCTAAGAACAGTTGCCACTGCCAAAAATTGCTTCTCTTTTCGACTTTGGACATAACTGTGATTTCAAAATACTTGGTCAACTAAAGATTGCAGTTCCTAGGGATTAAGTCATCTTTTTTAAAAAGATTGTTAATTCAATTCACATGTTACAAATGTTCTAGTAACCTAGTCTATGGGATGGGGTGACGGGAGAGCCATGTTTTATGTAAGAAAAAGCTGCATGCTCAGCATCTGAGTGTTTCCTGCTGAGACAAGGTAAAAGGTTGTACCAGCTGGAGCATTACCCAAAAATGGTAGGCTTTCTTGGGCAATCCAAAAGTCAGATCTAATAGAATTTACGGTATCACTATGCTCCCTAATAAAGAAGTTCAGCCTGATTTCCATTGCCTGGACAATTAATGGTGCCAAAGTCTGAGCACCATTCACTGGTGACTGCCCACAGCTACATGGGGTAGAGAATGACTTGCCATCCAAATGTACCTCTCTTCTCTATCAAGGAATAATTTCATTTTCTGAAAGAGAAATTCAGGCTACAATAGCTGGTTTGTGATTCATTCACTTCTCTGGGGAAATTTTAATCTTAAGACTTAAACAATTTAAGAAGTGTTAATGAAAAGCCTGCAGAGTCCTGTATATATCTGGAGTTATGCCTGAAATGTCCTTATTCAAAAAAGTGCATCCCACCTCCATCCCTGCCTTCACCTCCTCTCCCCCTTTAAAGGCTGTTAGGGAAATAGCAACATTCACTTTGGGTTGTAATTATAGAGCATGCCTGTGCAGTGTCACTCTGCATTAAATAGCACCATTTGTTCAACTGTTTAGAGGCTTTGCTAAAGTCATATTCCTGGATCTCCTTAGGGATTGAGATTAGCCCCACATACAGTCCAAAACCTAAAACCTTCATAAATGGGATCTCAAATACAAACCCAATTATGTTTAAGGTCCCGGGTCTTGCTTAAGTTATGACAGGATGCTCAGTCCCCTCTCGAAGAATTTCTGAAACACTTGGAGCCATGCTTTCATGTTTGATAAGCCCAAGGCAGCAGGTGTCTCTCATCTGATTGCTGCCCGGGGATCTAGCTGCACATCAGCTCTGAACCTTTCTGGTTGGCTTCACTCCAGATGCCTCTGGTTCCTTCTCAAACATAACTAATTTGAATCTGTAACAAATTTTTTTGGCAAACTTTTTCCTTTTTTTTTCAAGATTTTATTTATTTATTTGAGAGAGAGAGAATGAGAGATAGAGAGCTCGAGAGGGAAGAGGGTCAGAGGGAGAAGCAGACTCCCTGACGAGCAGGGAGCCTGATGTGGGACTTGATCCCGGGACTCCGGGATCATGACCTGAGCCAAAGGCAGTCGCTTAACTGACTGAGCCACCCAGGCGCCCAGGCAAACTTTTTCTTGAAGGACTAGATAATAAATATCTTAGGCTTCAGAGGCTATACAATCTCTGTCACAACTACTCAACTCTACAGGTGTCATGCAAAAGCAGCCATAGATAGTACATAAATGAATATCTGTGATCAGTTAAAAACTTTATTTACCAAAACAAGTGCCTGGCCCACAGGCTGTAGTTTGCTAGCCTGGGAACTACATGGAAGGCTTGATGACAACTGAAAAAATTACAGTGTTGCAGATAGAAATAAGAGCCTCCAAGTTTGCTACAGCATCTCAAGAACTGAGAGAAACACCTTAAGGTTTACCAGTTCATGAAAGGATATGATAAAGGAACAAATGAACAGCCAGATGAAGAGATACATAAGTCAAAGTCTGAGTCGGGGCCCTGAGCGCTGGAGCTCTCGTCCCTGTTGAGTTAGGGTACACATCCCGTCCTCTCCCAGTGTGGATATGTGGAGTCCAACCTGAAAGGTCTCCAAAGCCCCTACTCCCCTTCTCTTGGGATATTATGGAGACTTCCTCATTTGGCACGATCAGTTATTAGCTCCATTTCCAGCCCCTCTCCCCTCTCTGGAAAATGGGAATGGGGCTGAAAATCCCAAGTTTCTAACTGGGATTTGGTCTTTCTAGTGACCAGCCCCCATCCAGAGGCTATCTGGGAGCTCACCCAGAATCACCACCATGAAACAAAAGATGCTCCTAGTGCTCTTATCACTTAGGGATTTACAAGGGGTTAGGGAGTCCTGTGTAAGGGACCGGGGGCAGGGGGGTAGAGCCAAATATATGTATTTCTGATTATTTCAAAACATCTGTACAATGGCACTCATGTAATTTATCACACACTGCCTAAGATTATTTTAATGCAGGTCTTATCTTTTCCCTAGATTGTAATCTCTTTGTAAAGCAGTGACCGTATCTATCACAGACTTTATTCTATGAAGGGGCCTAACTTAGAGAAGCTTTAGATGGGATTTGGACAAGATATGCAAGTATTAAAAAAATTTGGCAGATTGATGAAGGAAAATTTCTCATTCATCAATCCGCACCCCCCAATCTCTCTCTCCATACACCATTTTTATACAATATACCCTAAAAATATCTCTACCTAGAGCAAAACTGTTAAATTGGCCTGTTTTAGATCTCTTCTCATGAAATAAATATGACATAAAACTTTTTAGGTTCTCTTAATTGTTTTCAGGAAAAAATTTTAATAGTAAAAGAGGCATTATACCTACTTCACTCTTTATGATAGTATAGGCAGAGAGACATGTAGAAATACTCAAAGACGTTTATGACCTCTTCTGTCTAGGAGACATTAACACACTTGGAAAGACACAATTTATCCATGTAAAACAAATGCAAAGTTCATGTCATTATGAGAACCTATATTTGTCAAATTTTTAATGGCTTATAAGCAGGAGGTAGGTATAATAATCTTCATTTTACTATTAAATTTTTCAGAAAATTGAATTAAAAGAACTTGAAAGTTTAATGCCAAATTATTTTCATAGAAAAAGATCTGAAATGGGCCAATACTAAGATGTTGCTCTTGGCAGACATTTACAGAAAAAAACATGGTTAAATAATTTTTATTAGACTACATAAAAAGAATGTTGAGTAAAAATCATTAGCCAAATGATGTATAGGTAGCTAGTTTTCTACACCAGGTCTTAATACCATTAAGGCTTATTAGAAAAAATTGAAAGCCTTTTATCAAGAATACTAATTGCTTCCCAGAAGAACAGACTGAAGTGGATTACACAAAAAGCTCTGTTCCAGGCTAGGTTTAGATCATTTTTCCTTTACACTGCTAATGACAGAATCAAAGATTAAGGTCACCTGGATACTGTTGCTAGTCAGGACAGTGAATTTTGTCTTCAAGTCCCGAGTTTTCCCTGGCAGCCTCCATACTCAGGCAGGACTTGCATGATATGAACTCTGAGTGCTGGAGTAACTTAGTGAGTAGAAAGGTCAGTGAAGACGGAAAGATGAGGACTCTCAACTGAGACTTGTGGTATGAAATTTGGAGGACTAACAAGGAATATGACAGTCAGTTACATTAAGGCATTGATTCTCAAAGGGGGTTTGTATCAGAATTACCTGATCAACTTAAGAGCACCAATTTCAAAGTCTCCCTATAAATTCTGATCCAGTGGTCTGAGATGGGGCAGCAGCGGTTTGAATGAATTCCCTGAGTGGTTTAGAGGCTAGTTCTTTCTCATCCCAGGTTCCTAACCTTCTATTTTTTAAGATTTGTTTATTTGAGAGAGAAAGAGTGCGTGCCCATGAGTGGGGGGAGGGGCAGAGGGAGAGAATCTCAAGCAGACATCCTGCTGAGTGTGGAGTCCAACGGGGCTCAGTCTCACAACCCATGAGATTATGACCTGAGCCACATTCATGAGTGGGACGCTTAACCCACAGAAACAACCAGGCACCCCCTAACCTTCTATTTTAAGTTAGCTAATAGCAAGGACATAACTACCAGCTGCTCCAAGAGCTTGTGCCTCTGAGGAGGAATAGAGAAGTTTCTAAAATGTTGAAAGAGATGATCTGTGCATCCTGGCCTGGGTGCCCAGCACTGTTCGATACATACAAGAGAGACTATCACAGCGGGGAGACATCTTTATTCCTTTTAGCTAGGCTTTCTTTATAAAAAATCATGAGTCTCTCAGCCTTTGTATACTTCTAAGTGACAAACACATCTGCCATGCCCCACTCCTTGGTCAACTCCAATAAGCCTCAGCTTTTGTGTTGATAAAAAAGATCACATCTAACTGAAATGAGAATAGTAAGGGTCAAAAGTATTAACAAATGAAAAAATGCCCAGGACACAGTATTATTCAGTAATTATCCCCCTTCTTCCTTCCTACTGACACCATAGAGTTTATAGTTCTTATAATAAAACAAACTGAAACTATTCCTATCTCTCTCTCCCATCTGTCAATGACATCCAGTCAAAGACCACAGGGACACCTGTAGTTGAAGAACTCTGGTTTATTACTCATTGCAGGGAGGGAGAACACACACCCCGGGGGACCATGGGGAACTCAGTAAGATGGTGTTAGAAACAATCTATTATAGGATTTGGGCTTTGGTGGAGTGATTTGGTGAGGAGGGGGTTCTAAGAAAGTAGGGGTTTGTTCCATACTGGATGCTGTCAGAAAGCAGAGGCAATTTTATGCTTTAGTGAAGAAATAGCGTCATTAATTTTAACTCAAAAAGGGTATATTTGTTACTTCCTGTGTGGTTCAGTGACCTTGTTTTTGTCTATGCTTAGACAAAATTACACAGGGGCCTTTTATTGTCTCAATTTATCAGGGTGACCATAACTGACAGCTCCCCTTCACTCTTTCTCACTTCTGAAATGAAACAGAATATCGGGGAAAAGCTAATACTTACTTAATATTTGTTTAAATAAAGAGATTGAACATTTATTGACACTTACTATGTCCAACATCACACTAAGCTTTAATCCTCGATCTCACAGTATATTCTCTATATAAGGTGGGGTTAGAAGCCAGATCTAGCCGACTTCTAACCACAGAAGCTTCCAGTCTGGTATGGTGTTGCTTCGTTGGCACCATTGGAACCCATGAACGAATTCTTGCCCCTCACTCTAAATTGCTTTTTGGGTACCTACATGGGTCAATTGGTGGAGTGTGTGACTCTTGATCTTGGGATTGTGGGTTTTAGCCCCACACTGGGCACAGAGATTGCTTAAAAAAATAAAATCTAGATAGATAGATAGATAGATAGATAGATAGATAGATAGATAGATAGATAGATAAATTGCTTTCAACTTTACTTACAACAGAAAAAGAAATCCTTTGATCTTTAATCAGAGACTGGCAAAAAAATTTTTTTGTAAAAACAATCATAGTAAATATTTTTGGTTTGCAACTTATATAGTCCCTTCCATGGTCACTCAGCTGTCCTTGTAGCAGGAAAGCAGCCATAGATCATACATGAGCAGATATCTGCATGTAGCTGTGTTCTAATAAAACTTTACTTATAAAATCAGCTGGCAGGTAGGATTTGGCTGTTAAACTGTAGTTTGTAAACACTTGATCTAGATTATAAGTAGCCAGAAATCCCAAATCAATTTGGATTTTTTAAAAACGTATTTTATAGTTTGAATAATTAAATTAAATATGTATAAATTATAGGGGGTGCCTGGGTGGCTCACTCGGTAAGTATCCCACTCAAGATTTAGGCTCAGGGGGCGCCTGGGTGGCTCAGATGGTTAAGCATCTGCCTTCGGCTCAGGTCGTGATCCCAGGGTCCTGGGATCGAGCCCCGCATCGGGCTCTCTGCTTGGCGGGGAACCTGCTTCTCCCTCTCCCTCTACTGTTCCCCCTGCTTGTGCTCTCTCGCTCTCTCTATCAAATAAATAAATAAAATCTTTAAAAAAAAAAAAAGATTTAGGCTCAGGTCCTGATCTCATGAGTCGTGGGACTGAGCCCCACTTTGGGCTCTGCACTTGGCGGGGAGTCAGCTTGAGATTCTCTCCCTCTCCTTCTGCCCCTTTCCCCACTTGTGCACACATGCAGTGCTCTTTCTCTCAAATAAATCTTTAAAAAATACATGTAAGTTGTTAATTTAAAAACTGTAAATATACATAATAGTTAAATATGCATAACTATAAATTTGTGGTGTTTTATTTTAATACAACTGCCAAAAAATTATACTTTACTTCATTTTTTTAATAAACAACAGAGATTTATTTCTCACATTTCTGGAGCCTGGAAAAACTGCCAAAAATATTTTAAATAAACTACCAGTTTCTGAGCATGACAGAATCCAGGATGGTGCCTCACACCATTTGCTTCTGTGATCCTGTATAGTGGGAACTGCATCTCAAGAGGCCAAAGGGCCTACCTAACAATTATTCTGTGCTTCCTTTCCTTGTTCCTTAAAGGAAAACTCTTGTTAACTAAACTGAAGCTCAGAGGCTAAATACTTGTTCTCAGTTATCCAGACTGTGGTAGAGCTGGTGTTAAGCCTTACATTTGTTTCATTATACCCTATGCCTCAATTTTCTTTTTTTTTTCTTTTGCCAGGAGGAGCCTTATGGCTCAATTTTAATAAATTATTGAATTGGTGGCCTGAGAGCATAAAAAAAACCCTTGGGTTACCCTGTGAATCTTCAAAGAAAGAATATATGATCAGAATAAACTTAGGGCAAAGGGCATTTTGTTACAGTTTGACTTTTTGAAAAGTTAGGGCTTGGGAGTAAATGTGGAAACTGGAATTCAGTACCAAACCAACAGAAGAACATTGTGCCATCTAGCCTCAGCACCCAATTTCCTTTTTATAGATTCCTCTTTTAGCGATGCATAACATCATGTGCCAGTGAAAGCAAAGATCAGCTATCATCACCATATCAGACTGTGGCCATCTGTGACTTGAGGGTAGAAGGATGGGGTGGGGCATATTGCAGGAGATGTTCTACTCTGAACCTCTCCAACCACATGCTATGCCACTGCTCTTGGTTAAAAGGAACTTTCAATTAGAATTTCCCATCCCCCAAATGTGCAGAACTAATACAAGTGTGTATGGGTAACTGGCCCATGAGTATTGGTATGATTTTGTATTTAAAATTGAATATCACACAATGATATTTTCATGCAAATTAATACATATTTATATATTAAGTTATACCCAGCTCCTACATATTTCTATAGATATAGCCCACTAGATAATATTCTTTCATTTAGAAGAATCCAGCCTATGTTGTTCCTCACCCACAAGCTCAGCTTAAAACCCCCCTTAAAGAAAAATTAAGAAAATAGTAGTCCATAAATATTTTTTCATACATTTGAGTGGGTTGTCACAGGAAGAAAGAAGGGGAGTCGTGCTTTGTGACCAAGGGGGACTTTGCTAAGCACCATTATATCTCAGCACACCTCTGTCCTCCCCTTCCTTTCACCTCTGCCTAGAGTTGCCAGATTTAGAAAACAAAAATATAGGACTCCGAGTTAAATTTGAATTTTGGATAAGTGGTAAATACTTTTTTTTTTTTTTTTTTGTATAAGTATGTCACAAATATTGCATGGGATACTTGTACAAAAAAAAATTATTTGGGGGCACCTGGGTGGCTCAGTCGTTAAGCGTCTGCCTTCGGCTCAGGTCATGATCCCGGGGTCCTGGGATCGAGTCCCACATCAGGGTCCCTGCTCCACGGGGAGCCTGCTTCTCCCTCTCCCACTCCCCCTGCTTGTGTTCCCTCTCTCGCTGTCTCTCTCTGTCAAAATAAATAAATAAAATCTTAAAAAAAATATTTGTTTATCTGGATTTCAAATCAACTGGGTATCTTCCATTTTATCTGTCAATTCTACACATGAATACTTACACATCAGTTTTCACGTGGTGACTTTTCTGGTTTGATAGAATTGAATTCAGTTTCCTGCTCAGCCATGTATGAACCCTGCCTAGGCAACCTACTTGACCTGGAGGTAATAATTCTTATCGCAGAGAGCTGTCAAAGGATTATAAGGAGAGAATGCAAGTAAATCCCCTAGGTTAGGGCCAGGAATAGGCAACTACTCAACAAACATTGGCCAAATGTTTATTTCCTTTTCTTCGTTTAAATTCTCCCTCCCTCTCTCTCTCCTCTCAAATAAATAAATAAATTCTAAAAAAAAAAAAAAAAGGAGGCATGTGGGTGGCTCAGTTGGTTTAGCGTCTGCCTTTGGCTCAGGTCATGATCCTAGGGTCGTGGGATTGAGCCCCGTGTCAGGCTACCCGCTCAGCAGCGAGTCTGCTTGTCCTGTTTCCTCTCCCCCAAACTCACGATTTATCTCTCTCTCTCTCTTCTCTCAAATAAATAAATAAAATCTTAAAATAAATTCTTTCAATTCTTCCCCTAACTTCCCTGAGAAAACTTAGGTGCTGTTCCCTTTTCCCTCACAATAGACTGTACCTATTTCTCCTCTTCTTGTTCTTTTTTTTAAAGTAGGCTCCACACCCAGTGGGGCTTGAACTCACCACCCCAAGATCAAGACCTGAACTGAGGTCAAGAGTCAGATGTTTAACTGACTGAGGCGCCCAGGCACCCCTAAGCTGTATCTATTTCTATTATAACATTCATTATATAGAACTTCAGGCCCATTTTGTAATCATGATGGTATAGACATAGCAATTCCTTCCTTTCTTTCCTCTCTCTCTCTCTCTCTCTCTTTTTTTTTTTTGTTCGTGTTTGCCTACTGTAGCTTTTCACTACTTTTTTCTTTCAAACTTTCTAGGTTCTTTTATTTAAGGTGTGGCCTAAATAGTGGGCTTCTAATGGATTTTTAGACAGAAAGTCTGATAATCTTTTTTAGCTATAGAGTTTGGTCCATTCAAATAAATTATTACTGAAATGTGCATCTATTCCTACCCTTCAATTTGTTGCTATTTGTGTACCTTTTGTAGGTTTCATTTTTCCCTTATTTCCCTCTTTTTTTCCTTCCTTGTTTTCTTTTCTTTTTAATCAATTGAACTTGCCTTTTCTTCATTTAATTTCCTCTTTACTAGTTTGGAAGACATACATTCTTTTAAAAGATTTTTATTTATTTATTTGATAGAGAGAGCACAAGTAAGCAGAGCAGCAGGCAGAGGGAGAGGGAGAAGCAGTCTTCCCGCTGAGCGGAGAGCCCAATATGGGGCTCAAACCCAGAAGGTTCTGGGATCATGACCTGAGCCAAAGGCAGATGCTTAACCGACTGAGCCACCTAGGTGCCTTTTTAGAGATTTTATTTATTTACCTGATAGAGAGAGGGATGATACACACCCTATTTTTATCTTTTTAGTGTTTTCAAAGAAATATGAACATCCATATCAGTTCAAGAACCCTAAAGTTAAACAATGTCTTACTTTCCTCTCAAACAATACACAGATCCTAGAACACATTGACAGAAAACCCCTTCCCAAGTTATATGATATTTTTGCCCAGTATTTTAGTTTTGTCTTGTATTTTAACCCAATAAGTTAGATATTATTGTTTTATACAAAATCTATTTAGATTTACACATATATTTACAGTTCCTTTGACTAGCATTTTTTTCCTTTGTAACTTAGACTGCACTTCTTGTATAACTTTCCTTCTTCCTTAAATATATCTTCTATGTGTTCTCTTAATAAAGATAATTTGGTGTTACACTCTTTCAATTTTTATTTGTACAAAAGTCTTCATTTTGCCCATATTCTTGGAAGATAATTTTGCTGGGTATACTTTGTATATCAATAGTTATTTTTACTCATTGTTTTTAAGATAATATCCTACTGTATTCTGGCCTCCACTGCTTCTTATAAGAAGCCACTTGTCTGTGTATTTTCTTTTTTTTTAAAGATTTTATTTATTTATTCATGAGACAGAGAGAGACAGAGAGAGAGAGAGAAAGAGAGAGAGAGGCAGGCTCCTCACGGAGCAGGGAACCTGATGCGGGACTCGATCCCAGGACCCTGGGATAATGACCTGAGCCCAAGGCAGATGCTTAACTGACTTAGCCACCCAGGCACCCAAGTATTTTTTTTAGGTGATCTCTCTTCTCTAATGGGCTGCCTTTAACATCAGGAGCTCCTTTTCCTTAATATTCTGCAGTTTCACTTTTCTA